ATATATATATATATATATATATATATATATATATATATATATATATTGTACTCGGGTTCCCATTTAAAAAAAGAAATCGTTCTCATAGCTAATTTTTTCAGAGGTACAGCATATTGCGAACAAAAGGCTGTGGTTACGGTAATTCAGATATTCTGAGAAGTATAACGTCACTGGACATGGATCAATCCGTATTGGAAGGCGAGCTGGTATCCGACAATTATTCGTGACCGCCCTGGATCTCTGAAGGGGTATAAGACCTAAACCGAAACCTGTATAGGTCAATGCTTTCTTCCTCCCAAACGAGACCGATATCACTTAACCGACTCTGTAGGGATGGATAGCTGGTCTGGGCAGCTGTCCGGGAACCTTATTTCGGTCGCTTAGTGCGCCACTGTCGCACTAAGCGACCGAAATAAGGTTCCCACTTCTGGAGTGCACGGACTTCCATGAATGCGCCCACGTCTGCACTTCAATGACTCTAGAGACATATTATAGGCAGAAGGCCGAATGAGACTAAGTAGAGGTTGAGGACATGAGATACTGCTGAATCAGCTGCCTTGTGATGTCGCCCGCTAAATTATCTGGGGATTGAAAGGGATTCAGAGTCATCATTGACTGGGGCTTGTCACCTGATAACGTCACTAAAGCTGGTGATGCATCACATCACTTTCCTTTCCCATTTGGTCCTTCACCCACGCGTATATGATTCCCATTTGTCCAACCCCTCTACCGTACCCACTGCCAATAGAGTAATTCATTGTACTTTTGGTCATTTTACATAATAAAGCCTTTTCTTGGAGATGAGTCTCATTTACATAGAGACACATAACTTTGCAGAACTCCCTTTTCACTAAAACTCAATTTTTCATTCATCAAACACTCGCCCTGAGCTTCTGAAATATTTGTCAGTGAATAAGATTAATTAGTTGTCCATACAAAATTGTAATATTTCATATTTTCTGGCAGTTCATGAATAGCTGCAACGACTGGCTCAAACAGTGCAAAACTGGCTTTTTGGATAGATTTTAGTGGTATCCTCAAAATGTGCCTGCTTTCATGTTATACAAAAAAATCAGGAATCACACAATATTATCAATAGCATAGTATTTTTGTTTTTTATTTTATTCTTTTTAATTTTGAAATTTGAACTTGAACAAGAAATCAAAACTCAAACTGGCCGATTTCGAAAAAGTTTTGTATAAGCACTCCTCGTGTGAGAACTTCGACCAAAGAAAAGGGGAGGGTTGTTGAATGTAATCGACCACGCAACATCTCTCGAAGGAAACATTTCTCCCAAACGCAATTTTAGAGTTATTTATTATTTGTTGTGATTATTTATTTTACTTTATTGACTAAAAGGAGCCGAAATGGCCTAACATGAGAAATGCACAGTTGGGTAAGCTTCTGAGAAGGAATGGTTCACAACCAGTGTTGGGACGCCAGTTCGTCTGGCTACTTTGCTCCTGACCATTGACTCATAAAAAATGAAAGAGTGACAGATGAAGTTGGAAAACGCCGTTCTTGTTTCCCAATCGAATATAATAGTCCTGTAAGCGAAAATAAGTTTTTTTCGCTACCTATTTCGTACAAGGTCATTTTCCGAATTCAAGCTTTCATTTGAAGCAAATGGAAAAACATCTCCCACTCGCCTGCGAACATTACAAGTAACTTCATTTACAAGTCTCTCCCAAAGCCAGTACGTCCACATTGTTCATGAGAAAAACAGTTGCTGCTAAGGAACATCCATTATGTACCTGGGACACATAAGAATGTACAATACAATTGAAATGAACTTCCAAAATCTTTAAAGCAAGCACTCAAACGTCTGCCACAACAATCAGAAATTCATGGGTTTATAACAAGTGAACCATGACATTTCTAAAGGGAATGCAGAGAAGCAAGCAATCAGAAAACGCCGATGAAATAAAGGCTATCACGCCCGGATGCCAAAATAGCCTATACGACTTCTCATCTAGAGATTCTCTAACCATCCAGAAATATTACTATACTTATGACTTTGTATACCAAGCTACGTATAAATTGATAGCAGGTTCCGCTATGCACAAATACATCTTATAAAGTGATAAGCGTAAATCAACAAATTATATAAATCGGTATAAAATTTATTTCAACATACTTTTNNNTTTTAAGGAGTTTGAGGAGCTACACTAGGCAAGTGTTTCGGCGCCATCGACTTCGACAGACCATGGAGAGGTTGCTGCTAACCCGCTGAGACGACAGATACATACTTAAGACAATTCAAGATCACCTAATGAAACTCGAAATTATTGGAGGCACTGTCGCAAAGCGATGACCACCCATGCAATTTCAACAGTTCCATTTCTTAGCTCCGAGAAATTCACGAAGACTGAGAGGAGGCAAGAGTTCAGGGATGATGTCTGCACTGATTTTCTTTTGTTAATGAGAAGGTTTGGCAGAGTCCACGGGTTGAATTCGGGTTCATGCCCCAAGATGATCAGTGTCATGCCTAATGCAGTGTTGTATATCAACTTCTTCCAATTTCCCTGACATTGGAATAGTCAGGTCACACAGTTGGGTGCGCCATTATGGTACCTCGTAGCCTGCTGGAACAAGTTGCGTCTTAAAGACATGGGCACTCTGACAACAGCGATGTAATAGTGATCGAGTTGCTCTTCTCATCAAATTCGAAGGGTTCAAAGGATATAGGCACCCCAGCCTGTAAACAAAAGTACACTTCGATGAGTCCTTGCTGGCAACTCCAGACATATTGATGGCAACAGCCTGTTTTGCTTCTGCTGGGTGAACCAAGTCATAACGAAGTAAAATAATTTCGTTACTCGGTTTACGGTATCGGCTTGACTGTCCTCTACGTTGAATGGATTTTGAAGCCAAAAAATATAGAAGTTCTTTGGGGATTCCTCCGTATGAACGTACACTTACTAATGCCAATTTGTGCTTAATTGGTTATAAGGTCCCTGTACGTTGCAATGATAGCGAGGTAGATATAATAAACAATTTCGATATTATCGGATTGCTCACTCAAAAGAGCGATACATTCTGGCTACTCCTTCTGCAAGTACAAAATTAGAAAGTCAGCAATGAAGTGGTAGGACGAGTTGGTCAAGGGTTATCTATGGGTTTATGAATTGCAGATTTAAAAATATACTAGGAAAGGATAACAACCGGTTTATAAGAGGCTATCTCATCTAACTATAATAATCACTCAAGCATCTGATGAATGAAAGGCAATTTTTATGCAACACAGCAATAACATGAGAGGTAGGGAGTACGAAAGAGCTTCTTTCTAAGAGAGCAGCTCAAGTACGTCTCTCGGCTTGTGGAGAAGATCAGGCGAAATTACCATCAGAAAGTAATTTCTGCCTAAATTTTGCCAAAGAATTTTGCCAAAA